TAAACATCCCTCTAAACTGTATATTACGTAATGCAAAAAGGAGGAGAATTGTTTTCTAAAATGTAATGTTTTACCAAGTTGTTTCCCAGTCTGTTATTGACCTTAGTGAATTCGCTTCTTAGGTTAGCGCCACCCGAGCGTCGCAAAACATACGTCGCAGACATTCGTCAATTTGACGTTCGTCGGTTGGCAGGTCACGCGAGCACGTTCACCGCAGCGCAATGGATGTCAAATGCAGCGGCCCAACGGATGCCCTGTGGTCCTGTGCTAGCAAACAGGGATGCAGCGCAGTTAGCAATTGTGTTAGAATGAAACTTGTAAATGAAAAGATGAGGGTTCATGCAACTAATAGCGAGCGCCTTTTGAAAATAACATTTCACACGTTCTCTTATATTTTATGCATCAACGCTGAGATTTTTTTTATTATTCCCGAATGTCCGAGTCGCCGTTCATAGATGCGCTCTTGAAATTGCATGATTATATTAAACGGCAAGATACCAATGTGAAGTATGCTAAAACTCCAGAAGAAATTCTTGCATATGCACTTTATTAATTAATCTTTCAATGATTTATTTAAATCTATTCATTTTATGAATGGGAAAACTTATGCCGCTCATTCAATAGGGTTAAACGTCCGTACAACGTACGTTCATCGCTGGTACTCCGTGTGTTCCGCACGGAATGAAAGCCTAAGAATCTCTAATGTCCGTCAGGAACAACCTACGCATTCAAGCGCTTACCGTCCGTTAGCCACAAGCGATGGACGTTATTGGCGACGGACGTCACTGCGGGTGTGACGTGACCCGTATGCATCCCTGCTGCGCTACGACGGACGTACTTTAATTTCCGTCATTCGGCGTTCGTGTAGTGCTAGCCGTAGCGATGCCGGGAGAGAACGCCCGCTCAACGACACTATTGCTAATAACAATCCTAAGGAGAGTAAGGTAGGTCAGGTATCACAATTGGTCTTCCGTTGTAAAATGTTTAGATCATTTTTTAAATTCTAATAATGCTTATTGCTAATGACACAATATTAAATGTATTCACTTTTAGTGGAGGTGATAAATTACATTACAGACGAGAACGTATTTTTAGACAATGATTCAAAGTTTAATGGTATGAAGTTTGTCATTGACCATCAGTTTGTTCATTTAATTGAAAAATAGCATTGTTGCATAGTACAAATTGTCAAAATGACCGTTTCCATGATTCTTCAATGATTATATTATATTGAAAATCTTGCACCCCTGTTCAAACCTCCTAGAAATTTGTATACCTTTACCAATTTCGAGTAAAAGAGAATATGTATCGAATTATCATAAGAAGCATTGCTAGGTTTCCAAGAAACTTGACAATTGTTTTCTTTTTACGTTCGATCACTTATTTCTTAAATGTTTTTAATGTAAATATTTTTAGAAAGTGACAGTGAACTAATGTTTACGAGCATATTTTTCTTGTCATAGGCATACTCATACCCCTCAGTACATCCATTGTCGTACGAATATTGCAAGTTGTAAATTAAGTCTTATTTAGTGAGAACAAAACACGCTGTCCTTTTAATAACTTAATTTGCGTTACGTCCAGTAATAAACCCTTTTAGCGTCAATCAACTAACGACAGGATCGATAGAAGCTGTGAAACTGACACTGATGAGACATTTTCATTTTGAATTCCACTGCAATTTCATAAAATGCAAGAATATCTTCTACGCTTTTAATTTGACATCAAGAGACATTACTCACTCAGTGTCTCTTCAAAATTATACGTGCATAGTTACAATAAACAGAACATTGAAGACTAGCAAGCGCACTTTGTACTTGTTTCTCGCCACACGCCCTCCTCATTCTTAGCGGCAGGCCGACCTCATTAATTTAATCTTCTCAAGACCAACACAATGTTGGTGCTAGAAGAAAAGCGCCTCCAAACGCACAAATTCCCTTAGTCGCTCGAAACAATAAAGAGAACAAAAACAAGATACCGCAGAATAATTAAAACGTCGCCCGTCCCTGCTTCTTGCGCCCCTGATCCTCCGAGACGGCGTCAATGGGAACGCTCTGCCGACGCAGACGCCGTTTCATTTGAGCGAGGTGCAGCAAAAGGACGTTGATGCACGGACCGAAGAATTAGAGGCACAGCATTCTCAAGTCGATTCGTTGCAATTAGTCAGAGTACTTCTATTGTAAACGAAGACTGGAAAACAAACATGGAAGCCTTCCGGTAGAAAAAAGGAAACTACGTTGAAGATAATTGCACGAAGATTCTCATTGTGCTTCAGATCAGAAGAGTTTCAAGTATATCCATACAAGTAAAAAATTTAAAAGAAAACTTTGCAAATGGAAACAAGCGTGTTGGATTATTACTGCCATGTTATTTTGGTAGTACATCCAGGTCGATTCGTGTTGCAACGGGTTAAATGAAAAAAATTGTCTAGGTGTCAAGAACAGGTGTTTAAAATTGAAGATAATATTTCTCATTTTAAAATTGGCAACTATGAGTTCTTGCTTATCACAAACGTCAATCAGTTTCAAAGAAATGAGTTCCTTATTAATGAAATTACTTATATTTAGACATTAAAATGCGACTCACATCCCAATGCTATCTTTGAAAAGAATCCAAAGAAGAAATGGTTTCTTCATAATATATTGTCAAGTCCTTTAAAGGATCTCTTCTGCGATGAAGATCCTGTTTTGTGTGCACTCACCTCTTATACACCGTTACACTGAACTTCCTCCGACTAGACCAATACATTTTTAATAGCTTAGTCCTGTACACACGCGCTAGCACAAACTTTAGCGAAACTAAAACAATTTAAAGAAAAAACAAGTAATTGTTTTTCCATTTCACTTAGGCGTTTAACATTGGGTCAAAAGCTATTTTTTTCAATAAAAGTACTTTTAAAGTTTTAAAGTTAAATATACTATATTTCTTTATTACATTAAATATTGTTATGTTTTCTTTGATATTTCTGCACTTCGACGATTCTCCATTAAGCATTGATGTTGCATAACCAATTCAGTACTAAGCTGCAAACACGATGTCACAACTTGCCCCTGTCACACTTACCTTCGGTATCCCCTAATAGTAAGTACGTTGGAAGCCTAACGTGCCTCCGATATTAAAATCAGAAATGGAAGATGATGGGAGACAAAACGAACTAGATGCAAATTAAAATTACCTTACGTGACACTTGTGTATTGTTTTTAAACTTGCCACTCCGGTCATTTTCAGACATCAACTAATGACAGGCCGTAATTTCCTTCAGTTTCCAAATGAATGGAAGGAGTGTTACAATGCAACCTTCATAGCGCCATTTATTAGGAGTCCAATTCTGCTGCCGTGCTCGTCATGATACAAAACCAGGGAGAATTATAATATCAAGGACAATTTTTCGCCGAGGCCACGTACGTTGAGATTCGGCATCTGTCACATGACTAAAATAGCAGTTCGATACGCACGTAACACTTTCGGTGAACTTTCCTAAAAGTGAAACAGTTTAATGAAGAAATATTGTGAGTCTTAATAAGACATAATTAATTATAATAAAAATCGGAATTTATAATGTCTCTAAAATTGTAGGTCTGAGTATTACTATTGAAGAGATTGGGAGAAAATTGTGCTAACCCTCATTTCATAAACACAAACTATAGGTTTTACAGTATCTCCTAAAAACAAACATTAACTAAAAATTTGCTTTTCCTCTGTCTGACAAAATAGGCAGGTGGGTTAGCACTATGTTCCCCCGACCCCTTCAATTAGAGTATAATGGAAAACTCACGCCATTTTAAGAAATCTGTTGTCGCTTAGAGCCCACACGCGTCATGTGATTCGTAAGAGCCCATTAGCCATTTTCTACAGGAGAGGACACCTCAAATTTGGGGGGGGGGGCGATTATGACTAATTGAAAAGTTACACTATGCTATCATCGCTTGCGCAGCACAGACTTAATCAATCCTACTTATTCAAAAAACTGTTTATAGAGAAAGGCTTATATTGTCTTTGACGTCATTTGATTGTTTTGCTATTTCCTCGATTAGTATTTCTTAATTCGAAAATTTTAAAGTGTGTAAACTAATGAGGTAGTACCTAGATATGGATAAATACCATGTCCCTGGCAGGAACAAATGAAACCTTTAATAGCCCGGAAAAAGCATCCCTTAGACATCCTCCAACTTCCCCCTCCTATCACCTAAGCCAGAGGGCAAAGACAGACAAACAACAAATTAAACCGACAACGAATTGATAGAATGACTGACACGCTGTACACATCGACGACGACAAAAATAAAAATAAAAAATAAAAAACTCCCATCCCGGTCCTGCCCTTCCCTCCCCCGTCATCCAAAACCATAATAAAACAACCCCTCTCTCCACAGATAAATTAACCCTTCCGCCAACAACCCAGACTCCCGATCCCCGTCGCGTACGGGGGAGAGGAGTCAAAAAACCCTAAACAACAACCTACTGGAAGCCCACTGTTCGAAGAGACCCCGCAAGGTGTCAGGCGAACGTAATTGAACACCAAACGAGACGTGTACTAGCGCGGGTCACGAGGCTGTGAGGCGCCGCCCCGTGAGGCGCCGCCCGGTGAAGCGCCGCCCGGTGAGGTGCCGCCCGGTGAAGCGCCGCCCGGTGAGGCGCCGCCCGGTGAGGCGCCGCCCGGTGAAGCGCCGCCCGGTGACGCGCCGCCCGGTGATGCTGACGGCGCGCGCGTGTGTTCGCAGCGCCGCTGTCAGCGCACGTGCACCGCAGGCGCAGGTGGTGGACGCGGGCAAGGCGGCCGTGTTCACGTGCGTGGCGGGCGCCACCGCGGCGCGCGTCTCCTGCTGCACAACGGCCGCGCCCGTGGCGCGCGGCGGCCGCTACGACGTCACCGGCGCGCCCGGGGGCGGCGCGGCGGCCGGGGCGCGGCGGGGGCGGAGCAGCGGGCGCGGGGGCCGCGGCGCCCTCTCGCCTCACCGTGCGCCCGCTGCAGAAGGAGGACCACGGCATGTACCAGTGCGTCGTGTCCAACGAGTGGGACATGGCGCAGGCCACCGCGGAGCTGCAGCTGGGAGGTAAGTGCTCAGTTAAGGCCCATTCACAATGCAAACATAATCATAAGCATGGCGTTAATGTACGAGTAAAAGTTAGGACTACGTCTAAAAGTGGACTCATTCACAATGCGTGTGCATAAGCATAACACGTAAGACAACTTTAAACCTTCAAGCTTCTGTGCTTATGCTGAAGTAAGACATAGGAAACGAACCAATCACAGTACGTTAACTCAAAATCGAGAATCGAAATTGGAGCGAAGTCGATTGACTAACTAACGTCATACGGCCATAGACACTGTCAATACCCCGAAATCGATTCTCATATCCAACCAATAGTAAACTAGAATGTCTCGCAGCCAATAGAAACTCTTATTTTGCTTACGTTTATGTCAGACATTGTGAATATTTCACTTATGCTAATGTTTACGTCTATGCGTTATGCTTACGCTTACGTTTGCATTGTGGATGGGCCTTTAGTGTAAGAAGGGACCACTTTGGCAGCTCGGGAAAGAAATAACATTAGCAAAACTATGGAACAAGCTCTGAAACAATAGACAGCTTACCGACCAAAGAGACAAGCAAATCATACATACAGATGAAAGAAAACTAACTAAGCAGTTTTGAGGAGTTTTAAAAAAAAAGTCCATGTATATACAGAAAAGGTGTTATTTTCGAGGTTGGTGTTGATTACCGTTTTGAAAATAATATCCGGAAGATGGCGGCCGTTAGCAGCAATACACTCTTGACGATACACATATCGCAGGACATGGTGTTCACTTCTTCAATAATACGCATCCTTAGACCTGGTAGGGTGTGGGTGTGAGGGCGACCTTTAAACACCTTTTCCTTCAGATATCACCAAAGAAAGAGGTCACAAGAGCTCAAAACTGGTGACCGAATGAAACGCTGGTCTTGTCAATACTCTCACTGGCCGGATTACTGCGAGAGAATATCTCAACATCCTCAACACTACTCGGGGGATATACACGGAACTACTTATTGTTGCGATTAGTTGCTCCAAATAATCGTTAGAAAATTATCGTTAAATAATCGTTATCTGAACAAATTCGGAGATCTAACGATAAGTTACTCAGATTAGTTGATAAATTGTTCCGCGTATATCTCTCAGATTTATCGTAGGTAATACACACGAAGTGCACACATAGGTACACACGAGTGCTTTGGAAATTGTCGAAACTCGCGAAAGTGACAAAATGAACTTGCAACAGGGCGGCAAATCAGTGCACTGCTCAAGTTCGTTCAGGTCGATCAAGGAACATCAATTTCAACAGGATAAAGTCGTCTGAACGGTTTAAGCTAGCGTTGGCTACGGACAGACGTTTTGCGCGTCAATCGATTTTTCTGTATCAAGGACCCACAAAACATGGATTCTAAATTATTATTCTAAAATGGTGTTTTAAAACATCTTACAACTAAATATATTCAAACTGTACTCAATTGTTATATTCTCCAGTGGTGGCGAAAGAGAGGAATCAATCTCATCTTCTTACAAAAACATTTTTACTGGGAAGGCCATGTATTTAATTACAAGTAACTGCATTATTTTAGTCTCAATTACTTTTGCATTATTTGAATCTCAATTACTTAATAAAATGGCACTTCCTCCTCGGGTACAGAGTACACAACAGAAATACCTTGCCCTTATGTTTTAATAAGGAAGAATGATTTAAACAAGCGCAGAACTTGGGGATGTAGACTTTCGATTATTCTCACTAATTCACTGCCAGTGGCTCGTGTCTAGAAGCGCTCGTCGCGAACTCTTGTGGCCAACGTAAGAGCCTTGCCGAAACCGCGCTTCTGCGTGTTTGCCTTCTGAAAAGAGACCGGTTTTCAAATTATTTGCAGTTGGGGTTTTATAAAAAAAATATTAAATAAATAAAGAGCAACACATTGCAATTGTGTAGTAAGGCATTTGGGCAATTATGAAACAAAATTCATTCATTCCAACTCATTAAATCACTACATCAATGAATCATTGAATGAGATGTCTTCGGTGATTAAAATTGTTCTAATTTATTGACACCAAATATGTTCAAGACATTGATTTTTTATAACAATAAAAAATACCAATTTTTGTTTAGTTTATCTTTCACTCTCAGTTTTGTCTCTTTTCTTGAATTGGAAAAAATATGAGAGTATTTTTTTCAAATTCACATTATATAAGATATGTAAGATTTCAGAGAAACGAATTTCATTCCTATATTTAACTTTTCTTACTTTAATTTTTAGATGCCAGTCCAGAATTACTTCACTGGTTTACGGAACAGACCCTTCAGCCTGGCCCTGCTGTCTCTCTCCGATGTGTAGCAACAGGAAACCCTCCTCCACAATTTGTGTGGACTCTCGATGGGTTCCCAGTGCCAGATAATCCAAGGTTCTTAAGTTCAATACATTTAATTACTAATTATCTTTAATGAAAATGTTTATTAATTTATATATAATTCATATAATTCTAAAAACTTATATAAGAATTCATTTCTGCAGGTTCCTTGTGGGGCAATATGTAACAATTCATGATGATGTTATTAGTCATGTTAACATCTCCAACCTAAAGGAAGAAGATGGAGGAGAGTACACATGTACTGCCAAGAACTCCGTTGCTGCAGTGTCACATAGCGCTCGTGTAAATGTGTATGGTAAGAAAAGAACAATGTGTACATAGATTATGAAAGCCATATATAAAGCCAACGTGCTTTCCTCAAATTGCTATTACTATTTATTGTTTTACCCTATGCTATGAAGAGTAAGTTTTTGATAATTAAATAGATTTATTAAAGAATATCTTGTCTGAAATTGAAAGATGGACATCTAACTTTGGTTATTACAGTATATATCACATCAGTTTGTATTTTTGAGGACTAGCTTTTTGTTCCAGAATAGTGTACTTCCAAATTTCAAGATGTAATTTTAATTGATACCCTGGGTTGGTTATCTTCTAGAGACAGTTGGTGAAACAAACACTAGTGAATCAACACACATGCTATCCTCAAAACAGTCTCACACTTTCAAATTTGGATCACCACCTACAGTGTTCATAGAAAGTTAAAAAATAAGCTGTGTACTGATGGGTGACAAGGACAGTCATTGAGGTTTTATTATCAAAAAATTAATCAATCAAGTTTCTTGGTTAATTTTCAAAACCTCAATATTTGTGTTACTTGAAAATAAGGTTTGAGCAGTTCATGATTGATTTTTCAGGTCTCCCCTTCATTCGAGTCATGCCCAAGATAACAGCAGTGGCAGGGCAGGATCTTGTGATCAAATGCCCAGTAGCAGGATTTCCAATTGAATCCATTATTTGGGAAAAAGGTATATTTCTTCAATGTATTATTGTTATTCGATATATATTTTTGTGAACTGGTCAAAATTATTCTGCATGACAGATTTTTTGTGTGACAAATATGATGCAAAAACTAAGACAAAGAAGCAGTAAATTGACATCATTAGCTGAGATGTTAGGGTGCAATACTACATGCTGAATGCATTAATTGAAGGAGTATTACAAAAAGAACATCAATAAGCACCTTTTAGATTTTAAGTTAATGATATGTTGGTTTTATATTCTCTTCCCTCAAAAATGATTCAAATTATTACTATTACTATTCCTTACTCTACCTGAAACTATAATAAATATTACTTAAATTAATATAATAATATTTTTTTTATACAATCATTACATATTTATAACAACAGATGTCCCACTGTTTAATACTACCTAATTCAATCTTTTCTTTTAAGTAATTATAAGCTTTATTATGAAGCTTATTTATATGAAATAAAAACATATCTTGAGTATATCCTCTCTTGAGTAGAAGCTCTAGTGGGTGATGCTTAAAGTGTACCTGATTCCATACCCTCTTAATTACCATTTAATTAAATTTTTCTTTAGGTGGGACAGTGCTTCCAATGACTCGACGTCAACGTGTCTATCCAAATGGAACTTTAGTTATAGAACATGCACAGAGAGCAGCTGATGCTGGGACATATACCTGTCAAGCACAAAATCGTCAGAAACATGCTCACCGAAGAGATGTTGAGGTCCAAGTGATAGGTATATTTTCATGCATTCTAAACAAAATACTTATATTTCGTTAGTAAAGAAATATTTAATTCTTTCTACATTTGTACAGATTAATAGATGTAATTAATATTCAAACCAAACATTTAATTGGTTTTGTAAAAAGAGGAATATTTTTGTTCCAATTTTTTCAATATTGAAGTTTATACTATATCTTACATTAATTACACATTATATTTATACTATGCAGTCTTGGTAGAATAGTAAAATATAGTCCACAAATAAGTTATTGATTTGATGTGGGATGGTGAGAGTTATATTTTAAAAGTATTAGAAAAAATCATGTTTTTTTTAATGTAGTTCAAGTCACTGCACTGTCCAGGTAAAACAAACTCAGTCCCATGTAATAAAGTTACACTGAATATCAATTAGTAGTTTAATATATATTACATAGAATTCTACATTTTTCACATCCAAGATCACTCATGGAGTGCCTAAAAGAGTTAAGTCCCTAATAATGTAATACAAATTCCAAAAAGATCTAATTCTGTAGGTCTCATTACGTGAAACATACCCTGAAGCACATAAGTGTTGCAGTTTTGCATGCAGGCCCCTGGGAGTTAAATGTATGCAAGCATACCTGCCAGCCTTTTTGTTTACATAATCTACAAAATTATGCATTTTTCTTGTAAAAACTGTTTTCTGAACCTTTGGGAGTAATCCCCTGTCCACCAGTATTAAATTTATGGGTTTTAGTTATGTTGTTTGCTTAAAAACAGACCGAACTTTATTTTGGCCTCAGAAATAGGCCTATCTCTATATGATTATGATGTATTACAATATGGAAGAAAAAACAGTTCAGTAGAGTACACAATCTTTCAGACAAATCACTACATAAAACACGGCTCAGAAATGCATGGTTTTACCATACTTTTACAATCAATTTAGACATATATTGAATTTTTATCTTGACATAACTTATTGATATTGCAACAATCAATTATGGTGTAAAAACAAGTGAAAATATGTAACTTCTTCAAAACTTATGTAAGGAACATAAATTACATACTTTTTTTTTTTCTTCAAACTTTCATGAAATTTTATTTCATTAAAAATTTGAGGATTTAATGAAATTGGTAATGAACAATAGTTTACAATTATATTTATGATTAAAGAAAATATATTAATGTGCCTCTTTAATTTACAGTCCCACCAAGAATTCTGCCCATTCCAGCCATGACAAATTTGTTACAAGAGGGTATGCGTGCAGCCATATCATGCCAGATTATTGAAGGAGATTTGCCAGTCACTTTTCGTTGGGAACGTAATGGTCAGCCCATACCTCTATCCAATTATGGAATTACCACTCGACGACTTGATGAATATTCCACTTCTCTGGTCATCGAGCAGATAACATCTAGGCATAGTGGCAACTACACTTGTGTGGCCCAAAACATAGCTGGAGCTGAAAGTTTTACTGTTCCATTAACTGTCAATGGTAATAAACTATTTCATGTTTATAGCTAACTTTTATGATATCAGACATTTTTATTATAAAGTTACAAAGCTTATTTAGCAATTCAGAATTATTTTACAATACAGATGCAAAGAATATCTAGCAATACAAAACTATTTCATGTTAAATTTTGCTGTTCTTTTATTTCTTATATTTCAATATTTCAATTGAACTATTTTATGAGAAATAAGAACTTGATATATAATATCACAATTAAATTATAAACCAACTCCCAATAGAGGTTCCAACATTTCCCAAACATACAAGTAAAACATTGTTACATTCCTTAAAACATTTTTTTTTTTTTAAATTACATAAACAATATTAATAAATATTGACACATTTAAATCATATGAAAAAGTAAAAATTGAAGATATGTTTAAGTGAGAATAACATGATATTTGCAGTTCCTCCTCATTGGACAGTAGAGCCTGTGGATGCCAGTGTAGCCTCGGGGAAAGATGTTACACTTCACTGTCAGGCTGATGGATATCCAGTTCCAACCATCACATGGAGAAAGGCCATAGGTATAATCATTAATGTCTAACCAAATTATAATATCAAAGGAGGAATAATACAAGTAAACAATATTTGTTCATTCTTTCAACAGGTTCACATCCAGGCGATTATAAAGACTTTTTATACGAACCAAATGTCAATTTTTTTCGAAACGGTTCCCTTACATTTCAGCACATAAGTAAGGAAAGTGAAGGCTATTATTTATGTGAAGCCAAAAATGAAGTTGGTACTGGTGTTAGTAAGGTCATTTTTCTTAAAGTTAATGGTAAGTAGTTTTTAATATTGAATTCATCCAAAATTTCACAAAATTGTGCAAATGCCAATATAATTAAATGATAAATAAAAGCTTTAAATTGAGTCATTCCTGGAATGAAAAATTTTGATACTTAAAGGGATATTCAAAAATCAAACAGAAAAGTTATCATCACAGCCTTTAATTCAGTATCATGCAGCTCAACAACATTCATTAACATTCAAGAACTTTGAAGCTAAATTAATGCATTTAAAAACAGTTATTCACAAAAAGTTCAAATTGTAAAACTAATTGTGAATAAAGCAGAGTTAAGAAAAACAAAAAGGTACAGTAAGCCATTTAACACAAATTCCAAGGGAATGAAATAATCTGTGTTCTTGTTATAGTTCGTTTTATGAGGAATTTAGTGTTAAGTGAATTTGTGCTATCAAGGGTTTACTGAATTAATATGCAAGATGGAGTATCATAAATATAACAATTCCATGATTTTGTGATAAAAAGTAAGGTGAAAGCTATTTTTGTGATCATACTAAAGAATGGGATTCAAAAGTTACATTATTTGGAATAAAATTACAAGACCATTACAAAGATGGTTTGTTTCAGCTCCAGCATATTTCCCACAAAAGTCTAAGCAAATGCAAGTGCAAAAAGGAGAACAAGCCCATCTTCAATGTACAGCATTGGGAGACACACCCATAGAAATTATGTGGAAAGTAGGAGGAAAAAGAATTGCAGAGGACTTGGATCAAAGGTATGAATTCTTGGATGTGAATTATTGTTTCATCTAGTAAATTTTTATTCCCATTCTACTTTGAAGACGTGTTCAATTTTATTGACACACAATAATTATATGTATGTTATTTGTAATATAATTTATTTCACATATTTACATTTTCTCTCAAACTAAATACCAAAACTATAATTTAATTGAAATATATTTTGCCAATAAATTACAGGTATGCAATACGAGAACAATTATTGGATGATGGAATGGTATCAGAATTAGGCATTGCTCACACCTATCGACATGACACAGGTGTCTTCTCCTGTCTAGCTAGCAATGCATTTGGTGAAAGTGAAATGGCTATTCAGCTTATTATTCAAGGTACATCATATCTAAATTTTACTATGAAATTATGTAGTAGTTGTTGTTGTTGCTTTTGTTGGATTGTTTGTTTTTTCAAATTTCAATGTCTTTGGAGATTTAAAAAAAAATTTCAAATAATACGGTATAAGATTTTGGAGTGCAAATTATCATGATTTTTTTCTATATTAGCAGCTGAACATGTTTTTGGAAAAAGGAGACTTTAGATTAAGAAATATGTTTCACCAGTTACATTGCAGCTGTGTTTCAGAGGTTCCTGAAAGTCCCAAGAATATTAGAGTGAATGATCAACAAAGTCGTTCATTACAAATATCATGGACTCAGCCTTATGCAGGAAACAGTCCAATAACTGGTTACATTATACAATATAAATTAGTATCAGGTAAAAGAAATTTAATTATCAAATATATAGAAAGAAGACCAGTCATGTACTATGTTCAAATCACCTATTTATTTTACTTTGATTTATTTAGATGTTTGGCAAGCTCAACCCTCCAAAATAACTGTTCCTGGAACACAAACAACAGCAACTGTTCAAAACTTAAATCCAGCAAGTTCTTATCACTTACGTATCATGGCAGAAAACAGACTTGGCACAAGTGACCCAAGTGAAGTCATACAAGTTACCACTCAAGAAGAAGGTAAAATTCATCTGAATAGATAATGTTTTAAATTCCTAGGAGACAGGTGTCATTGTGAATAAGGATTTTTAAAATTAACATCCCCCTACTCTTTACAACTTTGATTTTATACTTAATGTTTCAAGTCAATATTCTAATATTTTAATTTCAAAAACGCATGCTCTTGGTTTTATTGCAGCCTGTTATATCCTTAGAATTATTTTAACATTTTGCTCTGACTGCATACACAAAAATGAAAACAAAATATGAAACTAAGCAACAGTTACAAAGTCATCAGGCCACTTCTAGCAATAATACTATGACTATACTTGATTATAATTATTATTATTTTCCTTTAAAGTGAAAAAGAAATAACATAATTTCTCATATTTTAGTGCCTAGTGGTTCACCACAAGATGTACGAGCAGAAGCGAGAAGCTCTACAGAACTTATTGTGACTTGGGAACCACCTTCACGAGAACTTTGGAATGGAAACTTGCTGGGCTATTATGTAGGTTATCAAGAGCAGGGTTCACACTCACCAATGGTTCCATCACCTGCAACTCCCACACACAATTACAATTTCAAGACAGTTGAAATAGGAACACAATTCGGAGGTGAAGCAACACTGCAAGGGTTAGCACGATACACAACCTACTCAGTAGTTGTGCAAGCATACAACAGCAGAGGAGCAGGACCCTCATCAGATCCCATCACAGTGAAGACACTTGAAGATGGTAAGAATATGAAGATACGTACCAATCCAAATAGATACAAGGGGAGTGATAAAAGAGTAATTAGTTATTGATTTTCAGAAATATAAGAGTAATAAATATGCTGATTGATGAAAACATTACAAAAAGAGTATTTCTTTTATTTTGAAAATGAAATTCATAGAAACTCCAATATCCTTAAAATATCTGTTGTCTTTAAGTAATAGAAATAATGATTATTTCCAGTACCAAGTTTACCTCCTGAAAGTGTTCAGTGTTCTGCCATCACCTCACAGAGCCTGGAAGTAACATGGGAACAACCACCCCTTGAAGGTCGAAATGGTATCATTCAGGGGTATAAAGTTTCACACCAGCCTGCTGAAGAATGGTATGGTAAGTAACTTTTGATTTTAATCTTGTTCAAGCTCTGACACTTTTATACCAGAGAAATAAAATATTTTAATTTAAAAAGTAGTGTCAATCCCTTTATCAATTGTCTGAAATCATTTCATTTGTTATCCACTCTAATTTGTTTGATGACAAATCATGAAGCTCACAAGTTAAAACACATTAATGAGATATGAACCAACCAAATTAAAAATTAAGTCTTGAAAAACAGATGAGGTAGATTGACAAAATCTTGAATAATTTTTAAAAATAGTGAATATCAAGAATGCTTTCACAATGTCATTTTGATGATGAGTAAGAACTTTGAACTAATTGTATGAAGTATCTACATTTTTTACAGAACTGAATGATCAAGAAACAAAAGTGGTAACAACATCTTACAGAACAACTATACCTGGGTTGTTTAAGTACACGAATTACAGTATTTCTGTATCAGCATTCACTAAAATGGGAGATGGAGTTAAAAGCCCTCCAGTGTACTGTCGAACAGCAGAAGATGGTAAGACATTAGACACACACAAACACATGACATGGAGTTACAAAAGGATAAAAAGTAATAACAAAAGTACGAATTACTTTGCAGTGCCATCTGCTCCAGCTGACATCAAAGCAGTTGTTAGTTCAGCAAATAAAATACTAGTATCTTGGCTTCCCCCATCTCATCGCAATGGAAAGCTGACAGGATATACATTTTATATGGGCCTCATAGAAGACGGAAAAGAGGTAAAATACTGAAGACCCTTCAAGCTGCAACAAAATTCACTTTTTTACAATGTCATTTAAGTTTTTACCTCTGCATGCTAAGCAGTTTAACATTGGCAGTATAAATGTAGCATAGAGTTATTAACTTTACACGTAATATTTCTTGTAAGTATTACTTTCCCATACTACATTTCCACATTTTTTTCTGCATTACAATCATAGTCCACAGCAGAGAAAATGAACTAACACACAGAAATATCTTTCGTTTGCAAAGAAAAATTTCTTTTAACTTAAAAAGACAATTTTTTAAAATCAAAATTCAACCAGTTTTTAAAGCACTGACCTTGTTTTCCCCAATAATTCAAATAATTTTGAAGATTTTCTTTTGATTTGTTGTAAATTCTTAGAAGTACAAAACCATGCTCTTTCATTTAGATCTCCAATACATAATATTTTTAATTTGAGTCATTATTAATATACTGATTATAAATAGCTTTTTTCAGTTTTATAATTTATTATAACAAAAACTATAGAACTGAAGTGTATGATTTAGCATGGTTTTGTAGATAATATTCGGTTAGATGCATCCTAAAAATTTCATAGCTTTAACATGATTAGTTTTTCAGTTATGAAGGAATATAAATAAAAACTGTAGTTCTAGAAAATAAGCAAAAAAGTTTTATTCATGAGTATTGCTTACCTTACTACTCTACTAGATGCATGATGCAATGGTACACCTTTTAAATCGTGGCTCGAAAAACTATTGCAGATATCGAAATATTTTTTTCACAAACATATGCCAAAATAACTAATGCATTGAAACAAAATGGTTTCAAAAATCATTTTTTTTTAAGTTTTAAGGTGTATCTGTCACCTTAACATTACAAATGATAAAATGTATGCACATCATAGAGTAATAAGATGATGAACAATTTGCTACTTACCAGAATGTGGACAGGATAATAAGTAATTACATATTAATTGAATCACATCCAAAAACAAAAATAGCAAACTATTTAATTGAAATAAAATATTAGAATTCTTTAAAAAAAATACTTAAACATCAATCAAAAATGATATATTTATTTGAAATTTATTAATTAAATGATCTGTTAAATCACAATAAAATATTGTTATTCTCCTGTTTGATTGTGTAATCCAGGAAGGAACTCACAAGCGAATACTCAGCCCACTGAGTGAAGAACACGAGACTGTTCGCTTAAAGGAAGGTGTCACATATCAATTCTGGGTGACAGCCTCCACTGAAGTTGGGGAAGGAGAAAGCACTCGAGTGGTAACTTTATCACCATCAAACAAAGGTGATTTGCTTTTCTTACCAGCACCATTTACTTTATAAAATGGTTGGTAAAGTAATCAGTTGTTTAGCATTTGAAAAATATGACTGAAAATGAACATGTTGCAATCAATTCCAGTCCCTGCAAAAATTGTATCATTTAGCCGTGAAGTAGTAACTCCTTGGAAACAAGACATCAATCTGCCATGCAAAAAAGTGGGCATTCCAGTACCTCAAGCAATTTGGAGATTGTATGACAAAATAATGGAATCTAATGGTAGAAAACAGGTAAGAAAAAAATGGGTTGATGAGGAATATTAACCTTTTTATAATCCTTATTTTTCATTAATGCTCATTCATATGCTCATTATTTAAATCCTCACAGATTAATAAGGATGGATCTCTCCTCATAAGAGAAATCCAACATAGTGATGAAGGAAACTACACATGTAGTGTGGAGAATCAACATGGAAAGGATGAAATAATATACAGTGTTCAAGTGAAAGGTAACTCAAATGTTCATGATTAGTAGTTGGTAGATAGATCTACAATTTGTCTGAAAAATTCCACAAAATAATACATTACGTAATTTCAGGGTAAACTCTTTATAACATACTTCTTTATAATGGACAAGATCTCTATACTGTAGACAAAATTATGTTATAACCTATCTTTATTGACACTTCATTTCATTTAACTTTCTATAGAAAACCCTCTAAAACGAATATGTCTCTTTATAAGTCTCTCTTTTAAAGAGATTTCACAGTACTTTTATCTCATCTCATCATCTCAAATACCATTCCCAAAGTCAATAAACATCAATACAACAACCCTCTGAAATATTTTGGCAAACAATACCTTCATTAATATTTTCAATTTTAAATATTTCTCCCTTCTATGATTTCTCTCATTGATAAACACTAGCTGAAACATGTGAACATTCAATAGGTAAATCATTGTTTTAAGCTTGAAAATAGCTTTACAGTGGTACCCAACTTTGAACAACATAGCCCTGAAACTGTGTTACATTATTTAGACCTGTAATTGAGAGTAAACATTCTGATAATCCTAAGTGTTTATTAAAAATAGAAAGAGATAAAATTGCACAAAATATCAAATAGTCTTTTTATTTTCCCATAAATATCAAGATCTTGCATATTTCTAATCACCCATGGTCGATCACCCAGAAAAGCAGCAAAGCTGAACCTCCAAAACAAGAATAGAACATCCAAAAAGGTCTCATTTTGAAGACTGCGTCTTAACAGACATACTAAAACTATTTTTTAAGGATACAGGATGGACTGTTTCAGAGTTATGCATGATGGAAAACAGTTAGTGGATGTTTGCTGTGGATTGTATGTGTACTGTACATTGAAAGTCCATATGCAGGTTTCTTCATGCCATTTTCTACAAAATTCTTCATTTGACAATCTAAGTCTGATTAATGTATCCCTGGGAGGTAATTCTTTATCCAGCAGAAACACATTTACTATGTTTAGTAACACAGGCATTGCACAAATTGTATAAAAAAATTATTTCCTGTCTGTACTCTGTATACTGTTTTACTTACAATCACTGTTCATATATAAAATATATGTGATGGATTGGGCAATTTTATATATCTAAGATTGCCCATTTCATAATACATTTCTCTTTTTCATTGCAAGTATTTTAACAAAATAACAGAATCAACTGTGAGCATTAAACCTTGACACTCTCTATTCGTGACAAATGTAATTAATAAGTATTTAGAGAATGCAAATTTAAGTCTCATTTATTTGTTTCAGTTCCTCCAGATCCCCCAAATTTGACAGTAGTGGCAACATATGGAGATAGTTTACATTTGCAATGGACTGACAACCATCATGGAGGAAGTCCTATTCTAGGTATGTTTCATTCACTAGTATAATAAATTTGCAAAAATAAGATTATATCATTACTAGATTAGTATTACATTAGATTATGGAATTATGAATGCATTATTTGCTGTTTCTTTTGATAGAATATCCTTAATAAAACTTTGTAATTCTTCCAAATTCTCTTCATTAATTAATGAAGCAATCATAAATTTGAAAATTCAGAACACTGCCTGAAATATAAATTACTTTTTAATGATCTATTGCATTACGCTAGAAACATTAAATTACTCAATATCAGTCCAAGGGGACAATTTTTATAAAATAAAGAATGAAATGTGTCTGTTAAAGGAAATCTCTTACTTTTCACTTGCAAGCTATAGAGTAGTATGTAGCAGTAAGTTAAAAATGCATTTCAAGGTTTAGCTATAATGATGCTCCATTCCTTTCATGATTTGGACTGTAGTATATTTGATGCTGCAAGGTAATCAATCTCCTCGTTTCCCTCTTAACACAACACGCAGATTAATGACATAAATTGAGAATGCCGGGGGAGGAGGATCACTCAAGGTGCGACACACATGCACAGATAAATTTATTCAAAGAATACTTTTAACCAGTGGTGAATCTGGGGGGGGGGGGGAGTGCAGGGCGCCTCCTCCCAAAAGGCCTAGTTTGTTCATTTGTTACCTTGTTCTTTTATTTGTAAAATGATTTAAATATTTATTTATGTTAGAATTATGTAATTATTTAAACGTAATGTTGAATAGTATCATACAGAGACTACAAAAATAATATACAATATAATAACAAATGTTTATTATTTAACAAAATTCAATGATGGCCCATTCCAAAATGATCTGCTGAATCTGCCCCTGCTTTCAACTCATAAGAACTTGCTGTATTCACTTTTAACTAATAACAGAAACTAAGAAAAACTATGTTAAAAATTCTAATGATGCACTTAATTATTTTCAACTGAAATCAAACTTTCACACTGAAGTGAGAAAGTTCAAATAAAACTATTTTAATCCTTGATAAAATAATATTTCAATTATAATTCTATGGATATGGTTGGCCTTAAAGAATCAATTCAAAAAAGGATAAGGGATATCAGGGAGATTCACAATTGAATTAATGTTCTCATTTTTAAAAACATATTCTAGGCTATGTCATCAATTATAAAAGAGACCATGGAGACTGGGAAGAATTACAGATTGAAGCAAAAGCAGAATCCCATATTTTGCGCAATCTGTGGTGTGGCACAAGATACCAGCTTTACATAACAGCCTTTAACAAAATTGGAACAGGATTGCCTTGTGATATTGTCAATGCCTACACCAAAGGAACAGGTAAAAAAAGCTACTTTTATCCTATTTGATTAAATTATGAACTATTACTGCACTGAGTACTATAGCGTAGCCCCAATCTGGATTGGGATAGCACAGGGCAGATTGCCCCATTTCCTTGCACCACAGCAGGAAATATTGGTGGGGAAAAAGGCTAACATCTCACTAAGGAAAGAATTTGGCTTATAATAAATAAATAGTAGCATTGGATATGTACTGACTGCATATAGTATGAATCAGAATTATGCCAGCAAAATAATCAGTATTGTTTGCAAATTTCAGTGATCATGACAATTATTTTATTCCAACACTTTAGTATTACAGTGAATGTACCATTAATATCACCACCTACCACTTAAATAAATACCTGCCAGTTATATTGATTGTTTTACTTCTATGTTTGTAACAGTTCCTGTCAAACCAAAGCAATCTCAACTGCTCACAGTTAATTCGACTGTTGTAACCATTTGGTTGGACTCATGGGGTGATGGTGGATGTGCAATTTTATATTTCATCATTGAATATCGAGATACTCAGCGTTCTAATGATTGGTCACTGGTATCTAATAATGTTCAACCTACTGAGAGAGTGTACAGTGTTCTGGATCTTACACCAGCTACACAATATCAACTCAAAGTTACAGCTCACAACAATGCTGGATCAACATTTGCTTACTACAATTTCACAACACTAACTGCAGAAGGAGGTAAATATAATGTTATTTAACTTTTGAATCTCTGAATTGTTGATCAATAAATACAATCTTCTCTCCATCCTGCTGGACTACAACAACTCACAAAAAATAAAGTTAATGTTCTGTTTGCAGCCACAGTAATTCCAGAAGTTGCTCCACCTGTAGTTCACACTCAAGAAGAGTCTTTTTACTCCAACACTGCAATTATTGTTTCTATTGTTGTATCACTGATATTTATAGCAGGCCTGATTGCAGTAGCAGTGTTTATTAAGCGCAAAAGTAAGTTTTTCACTTTGAGCATTTTAAGCAATTTTCTTTTACATATAACTAGTTCTTGTTTCTTAGTGTAATCTGTTAGGAAAACATTAACTTAAAATCACCACATGCATAGTTTCATTCCGTTTCATCTTATTCCATTTAATTCTTTCCCTCTTATTTGCAAAACACCATCTCTATAAAGTAAATATTATTTCATCATTGTCAACATTTTATATTATTGAAGTCAATTTCATCATTTCTTCTACCTTCGTTAAGCTTCTACTACCATGACTATTGTATCCAATTACTCAAGGTAAACTTTATCTAAACCTTATTTTCTTACTGCTATTACTCATACTCTCTTCTTCTCTCATGTTAATTTGTCATGGTTTTAAAACAAATTATCATCTCTCAAACATGGTCTTTTGTTTCAAAATTGTCTCAAATACATTATACTTTCCTGTATTTTAAGACTTTCCCCTGATAACATTTTATTTCAATTTTTTTATAAAGCAAATCCATCAGCCACAAATTGTATTGCAGAGAACAAAGAAAACTACTCTGATATTATTTTTACACAAAATAATACTGTTACAGAAACACAAACAGAAGCAGCTCAAATGGGTGAATCTCCATCAGTTGCACAAATGCAGAACCAACAAAATCGGGACCAACAGTATTTGGCAGTGCGGGTGGGAAGCGGTCCACAACAAGCTCTTAGTATTGATTCATCTAGTTACAAGACAGATTCAGCAGGTATGCAGTTATCTATTTGTTAAAACTTCAAACTTCTTTAACTTTTTACAGATCAATTTGTAAACTGTGAATACAATTATTCATACTACAATAAGGTGCTGTAGAAACAATGCTGTCTTCAAAAGAAGTAATAATATCAAGTAACTTAATATTTTCCTTTCTCACCTCTAAGATGATGCATAATTCTAAAAAGAAGTACAATTATATTTTAATTCCTTTAAACACATTCAATATAAGTTGTCCGATTTGTAAGGCAAGTTGGCTCAGCAGTAAAAATCATCACATAATGAACCTATTTTGTTTCAATGCCAACTATAATTTTGCTTCAAAAGAACTTGTTAAATTGACAAGATATCAAAAATGTTATAAATAATATAGTTGAAATGATCTCACATGTTATGTTCATTATGCTGCATGATATAAAATAATGTATTCTGAGATGGTTTATCATGACCTTTTCGGACAATGTTAAATAAAAATCATGACCATGATCATGATGATTTTGGACAATGTTAATAAAAATTGGAAAACTCAATTGGCCATCAAAATGAGGCAAATTTTACTGTATTGCAGATTACATTGAAGATATTTGTCCTTATGCTACATTTCAACTAGCAAAACCACCATACAGTGAAAGTACATATAGTGGCAATGTATACAGTGGACCATACCATTCTGTGAGGGGATCATTTGTGTACCATGACCCAAAGCTTTCTGGAGCAGAAAGTTACAAATTTAGACATGTGAGTTGTCTTATAATAATGATACTTTATAAAATTGAATGCAAAATGCAATCCTTAAAGCATCATATAACATCTGAATATTTATTCATTCACAGAAAGAACCAGAATATACAAAGGTCAGAAGAAAAGGAGGCAGACTGAGAGATCCACACTCAGAAAGTCAAGGTACTGTTATTCTCAAATGCAGAATAAAAATTTTGACAAAGATGTACGATAAAGAGGTACAAGCTTATTTATTAGCTGTAACCATTTTGCAACTGCACGGTTTGCAATCAATATCAATTGTATGTGAAAAAAATTACAAAAAGCAAACACTATTAGAGATACAATGTAGCAGTGATATGGGAAAAACGTACTACAGAAAATGTCATGCAATACAAGTAAACACCCAACAAATATGAAGTAAAATGCCACATAACCTCTAAATTAATAAAAGCTTTCGTTTTATATATAAAGATAAAGTGCATTATCTTTAGTTCAGCATGCTATAACAGCACACTAAAAGGTGATAAATGACTGCTGGACTGTGCACAAAAATGACAACTACCCATATACAGGCTCCAGATACAATGACCCACAATGGACTCAGTCCAGATCAAAGAACAGATTTATTGCTGATGCCAACTCGGCCTTTTTCAGAGTCGGACAACCTGGGGAGCACTGACTCAGAGGTGAAGAAGATTTTAACTCTGCACCTGCCTATTTCAGAGTACGATACACTGGGCAGTGACTCTGAGGGAGAAATGCCAGGCGGGCAAGTTGCTGCGAGCCAGGAACTCGTCTCTTTCAGACACCGAATTTCCAGAGGTGTGTATTTTTCTTATTATAAAAAGTCAATCAAAACTCTAATTTTACTTCACATTAAAATGTTACTAGGAGTTCTACACATCATTCACTACCAGTCTCCGTTCAAAGCAAGCGCCAATGGGGATTCGCTGCACTCCTTCGAACATGTCAGTTACTAAACAGTGTTGCCATACGTACATATACAATCTGTACAAAGGCAAAAACTCGAAATAGGCATATTTAAATTTCAAAATCCTGCCATTTTCTCAATTTTAGAGAAATCTGTTTTTCAGATGCAAGAGCAGTAAAAGATTTAGATATTTCAACGGCAAAACTATCAAATTTTATTTGTTGCACTGGCGCGAAAATTATTATGTTGCCATTATGTTCACATTCGTCAGAACAATTGAAGGCTGCAAAAAAAAATTTGCGAAAAAGAGAGGCCACAATATGAAGCCAACGAGAGAAGAGGTAAAAAGGGAGAGGAAAAAACAGGAAATTGAAACGACGTGTTCCAATATTATAGGAAAAATTTAACTTTCTGAAAACGAGCACCAGAGTGTGAAATTATTAAAATTTATTTGTTAAATAATTGGGAATGATTTGTATATTGCTCGGGAAACTTTTCTTGAATTATGACCTTACTTCCCCCTCCCTGGCCAATAAACAGTTGAAGGCAAAAGCTCGCAGCGAGCACTGAAGACAACGTGACAACAAACACTTGTTCATTGGCGAGATATAAAAAACAATTTTATTTTGTTGGCGAGAACTTCTGTCCGTTATTTTCTCCAAAATATGTAAAGAAATGACCGTAGCAGGTAAAGATATATCGAACTTGTGAGAAAATATTGACAATGTTGCGAAGCCATGACTGATTTTCCAGATTGGCATTGCTTCATAAAATCTAGTGGCCGATTTCATAATTAACACCCCCACTCTCCCGGAAATCGGCGCGAGTAATAATACCTTTCACTTTATAACACAGTATTTTTCTAATTTACCACACGGTCACCTTTTTTGACGCAATTACGCTCAGGGAGTCATACGTTATTAAGTCTCAGTTGTGTAAATAAGCTCGGTCCCTATTTTCAACTTGTGGCTTACTCTTCCCCTATTTTCATTTACTTTTCGTACGAACTAATTTTTCCCTCGTATTTATGATCACTTCAGAAATAAAGAATGTAAATCACTTTGCACTGAAAAGCTATTTTTGCTCGTGAAAATGTTATAATTAATATTTATTTTTCAACAAACTTTCAATCAAAAGTTTTGCAATTATTTATTTATTTTTTAATATTCTTCAGATTAGAAATCATGAAGCAATTTTAACAATATGAGCCATTTAAAAAATGTTACGTTTTTGTATGAATAATTTCCTAACACATCTAAATAAATAAAAATACAATTATCCATTTTTGGATAAATTTCAATTTTCTTTGTCAAACAAAAATTTGGCATGTACATGGCTGATTTGAAACATCTTTAAATTGAGCTTCTACATGGAAACTTAAAGAAAATTGCTGCCACCTAATGAATGACATTTGCACTTCAAACAATTTTTCTTTTTCTGAAACTGCCATTTCTTTTTGTTTAAAATATCCGAAAACTGTTATTATAAATAATTATATATACTGCTCTGATGTTTCAGTTGGAAGGCTTTGTAAAATCATTTTAAAAAATTGATATAAAAATGATGTACAAATAAATCACAAAATTTAAATATGAAATTGAATTATAAATTATTGTGTGACATGTGTACTTATCAGATTTATCATTTACTTCTCAGAGGTTAGCAAATCTGGAGTAGAAGAATCAAGTTCTTCCTCTGAAACATCTCCATCGGGAGCACGGAAACCATATCCTTCCAGAAAGTCTAAAAGCAAGGGGCAAGTTTTGGGAAAAAGGCAAGTACGAAGCAGTAGTGGATATTCAAGCCATACTGAAGGGACAACTTTCAGGTAAGTTTTGTCCAAATTTAAATACTTGCTTATTGCATTCAATGAACTGTATAGGGTACACCAGATCATTTTTAGGCATTTCCTGAATGACAACTAACTTGCCCCTTCAAATGCTCATAAATAACGTTAATTCAATAACTTCCCAAACCAAAAGCTGTTTTCTAAATTGTCATTTTCATCTAATTGAAGATAAATCAAGCTTTTCAACACATGCAAATTGTTTTGTCATTACATTTATTATGAAGAATTAAATTATATACCAGCTGTCAAGGTAAATTTAATTTTAAAGAATCTAATTGAACTTGAATATTAATTGTGTTGTTTTATGTTATATGTATTACCTAATTTTATATTATTTCTTTAATTCTCTTTACCATTTGACAAAAATTATCTGAGATAGTTATGTGCTTCTATACACCTATGTACTAACATATTAATAGCCTCTTATTACTAACAGTTTCAGTGACAGAATTAATCCTCCATCTCGCTTCTCTGACTCACATTCCCATGAGCTGAGCGAGGCAGAATGTGACATGAGCAAGCTGGGCCGCAAAGCAGGCCGGGGTGCTGCAAGACTCAGCAGTGAGACATCCTTTCAAATTGACGTTTAGCAGCTCAACGTGCCTTGCCCACTAAAGATACATCTGTGCAATTTTTTCTTCAAGAGACAAAACATCACAAACATCATGCTCACAGATATAGAAATTAACACTGGGGAGCCTGCTACTAACATACCATATTAACTCTGCATTACTTCCTGGTTCCACTTCCAGAACTTATTTCTTCATCAATCTTTCAGTGAGCTCTGATGCCAAAAAAAGTACAATAATTTATCTCAACGGACTAGTCAAGAATTAAGGTGGACTCTACAAACAGGTGGAGGCAGAAGAACTTTCTCAGGACTTTTACCGAATCAATATCTGTGCCTCATTAGGCCAACAAACATTTCAAACAAAAAACCACTGCTTCATGGCAGCTGAACCACCATAATAAATTTTCAATAACATGCTATACAGTACCGATCACTTACAGTTACAGATTGTTTAAAAAATAGTCCAATTGTTGCTCTATTGTGACAGTTTTGTGTTGTATGGTACCAATGAAAAGTTTTTGTTACCTGCTTTTATTCACACACAAAGAACTTCAAGAACATCATTTCATTCACTGCCAAATAAAGATTAATAAAATAATAGACAACCCATAAATATATGTTTTATGTTCAAATCCACTATTTTATTATGTTGATGCTCAACATACTCGTCATAGAATGTACTTCCCTCATCAAATCTTCCAATCAACGTGCTTCTAAGTTTTGTTACTGAAAAGATTCTTGTCTCATTACCTGAAAAGTGAGACTGCAATTTTTTGTGAATAGATAAAGATATAAATATATACAATAATGTAAGGTAAGAGACATATAAGAGATGTACCTTATGTTTGTTGATATTTCAGTGAAGTTTTAAATATGATGATTGTTTATACAATTACTGAATGTTATACAGTACTGTATTTTGCATGTTACAATTTTGGTAAAATAATAAAGTGCCATAAAACACATTCGATGATTGTTTAATTGAAGTGTACAGTAGTCAATTACCTGACATAAGAGCCAACAGAATGACAAATGAAAATCTCAGGTTCACTATAGCAAGGTCTTGACAAAAATCTATTACACCACAAATGATATTAATATTTTACACATTATAAACTTAATAACCATGTTTTACAACAAAACAACAACAAAAAATGAATGTACAATGAGAAAATTGTCTGAAGTGAAATTAATACAGTAAGTTCAGTTCTATGCTGATTTAAAGGAAATTTTTATTGTAAATTGCTTTTCTCAGAAGTCAAGGAGGGAGGGGGGGTAAAAGAGACTACACTCACACTTTGTAGTTCTTGTGTTGCTAATTGAAGCATTTTTTGTTTGTTTGCTTTTTGCAATGGACATCAGATAATAACAACACTGGATAACTCTACTCTACATACAGAGAGTAAAATAAATTATTTTCAGCAATTTCATATATTTATTAAAAAATATAACTCAAAATTAAATATATAATACATTTTCTCAAAAAACAATAATGTCGGTAGATTTTCTACTTATATATTAAAACAAATTTTATGTAGACTTGGATTGTTTCACTTTCCATATTATAACTCCTTTTTAGATCTTTCTCTTTTTTTATATGTTTGTGCTACTTTATTCATTGTTGCAAGAATACTCCAAGTGTCTGAATAGAAGTATTTGTAGGCAGGATCTCCAGCCTCATTATAAAATTCTAATCTAAGTTCTCCAGTAGGACCTAGAAATGGAAAGGTCTCAAATTAGCATCCAATATTATTACAAAACTATTCAAAAACTGATATGAAATGAATTCATACTGAGAAAGAGGATTCTTGGGACGTAGTCTCCGTCAGGGGAAAACTTTGGGTCCTTGGCAGGGGGTTCCCTTTCCCCTGCATTCACCATGATAAACTTCTCACTCAAGTCTGCAATTTCTCTTGAAGCAGCAAACTGAGGCTTCAAAGCTAAACAAATAATGAGATGTTGCAGTTCAACTAGACTACAGAGTAACACATTTTATCATTCACAAATTCATTTTTTTTATTACTCTTGACTTTCCCTTTTCAAAATCTGAATTTTATATCATAATTTACAATACACAGAACTGGAGACTAATTTGCCATTAGATCTTGCATGGACGTGGGCATATCATGCAAACAGAAGAATGAAGTTTCAATTAAGCTATAATGCTGCTTTTCTGAACATATTTAATGCAATGACAAAACAATACATCAATGAATACAAGTTTATCCAAAAAATGCAATGCAATAGCCAGTGTTCCTTAAGAAGAAAATAATTCACTGCCAATTTTCTGATTTTTCCAAGTTCTAAAACATGTCCAAAATTTCACTAATTGTGCATAACTACAATGATAACATTTTATTTTGATATGTATGTGCATTATTCTTTAAATCCTGTAATTTGAAAACGATGACAAATGATTTCAAGTCTGCAAGATTTAAATATTTAATAAATTATAAAAAATGAATCCATAAAATCCAAAGAAAACCACACAAAATACAAGACAAATCACCAGTTAAGAACTAAGGGTACAAAGGGAAAGACAAGGAAAATATTAGGAAGTATTTTATAAAACCAAAAAGAAATGATTGCAACGACAACCACAACGATGACAGTCAGAACCAAAATGACAATAACAACAACAATAATAATAATAATAATAATAATAATAATAATAATAATAATAATAATAATAATTATAAAAATGCCACAAGGAATAATGTGGAGTAAGATCATTTAAATTTAAATTTCAAACAAGACAATACCAGGCAATCGAGCAACAAATTTCATCCTTTACAATCAAAACCACTTAAATTTAAATAAGAATGAAACAGACCAGAAAACATATTTCAATGCAAGAACCAGGAACATCAGAGCTATAAACAATAAAAATTAAAAACACTGGATTAGTTTCAAGATATAGTTGACAATATGAAGAGTAAAGTGATATAGTAAGTATTACAGAAACTAAAAAGAAAAAAACAAGAGACAGAACTAAAACTATAACATTACTTTCTTTCATTACAAGATTTGCTCAAAAACAGCTCCTAATTTTTTCTTTAAACTTTCGGTAGGGATAGGACTAATTTTTTTTTTTAATTACAAAAATGTAATTTTTTTTGAAAGGTCTCTCGCTGTTAATATGCACATTTTCAGTGATATGGAAACAATATTACACTTGTGACTGAAAGTACTTGAAATTATGTCATAGGAAGTTATCAAAAACTCAATAGTTTTCTTCGGGGGGGGGAAAAAAAAGTTCAAATTTCAAATTTACAGAAGCATTAAAATGCCTTTTTTTTTAAATGGCTCCAAATTATTCAATGAAAATTGCCATTTAGGACGAAGTTTTACTGTTTTTTAATATTCTTAAAATAATATTTCCATTCTACTACTAGAGAACTGAAAAATTAAGAAAATTTCAAAAAAATGTACTTGGGTGGCGATAGATTGCAGCAGGCAAGAGTATGTGACAAGTTTGAATGGCTAGTCGAGACCAAAGGAAATAGAAAACTAATATGAGAAAGTCTGTGCCATTCTGTTGTACCACTAGTTTTTCTATAAGGAGAAGCAAACCCGTTTGAACTTAGCTGCATATGCTCCATCAACTTCGGCACAGACCAACCATTATAAATTCTTTATCAAAACTTTCACAGAAGTGTGGTTTTGTTCACGTTCTTCAGTTAGTCTTATTTTCTCAACAAAAGTTAGCATTTTCAATTTTCCGTCGGACGCCATAAACACTTGATTAATACAACACCTGCAGCTTGTCCAACTGAACCATATATAGTAAATGTTCAGAACCACTGAACCGAAACCGTACATTACAAGAACTGAGGAAGGATCACATCAATCAATCAATCAATCAATCACTCTTCGAGTATCTCCTTCCTTCACACAGGCTTGTGAAGGGTATTGCTATTATAAATAAATAGTGGCTTAGGCACAAGAAGCATGGGAAACACGATCGAAGGAATGTAGCTGAGAAATGGACAAACACAGCTCTGATTGTCTTGTAGAATAATGTTGCCACACTTACAAGTCAATGTTGAATTTTAAAATAATTTATTAGTCCATTCTGAGATTTTTTTCAGCAAAGCCAGGTTTCCGCCTTACATAGATTTACTGTACATACATTTTGTACATGTAAAATACATACATTATGAATAATTCCCAAAAATGTACATGGGAAAGGCATTGCACCAAATCCATTACATAGAATATTTGATCATCAACAGAAAATTGAGAAACCTTGTGAAAGACAAAAATATCTAGGGGTAGTGAAATGGGTATAGATTGTTACATTTTAGAAACCAAACTAAATATTAAAACAGAAAGAAACAAAGTAGAAAAACAAAGGAGTAACCAAATCCAAAACTAAAAGTTCACCTTTTCCATGAATAAGAAAATTGAAAACTGGCAAAGAAGAAAAAGAGCAACCCGGTTATATGGTTAATTGGATTGCTGGTGAAGTAGATACCTTTTTATTATGATAAATAAATAAAGATATTGTCAGGTATCAATATTTTAATTCAGCTTATGATCATTTCGATCGCGTAGCGATCATCCTCAGAGCTTGCAGCTTCTGGGCAGAACTTTGTTTGCGGCCCAGAAGCTGCAAGCTCTGAGGATGATCGCTACGCGATTGAAATGATCATAAGGTGAATTAAAATATTGATACCTGACAATATCTTCATTTATTTATCACCAGTTATATGGATTGTAGATACATACACAAATGAAGAGACACTTGTAAGATACAAAATATTGAAAAACAGAGATACAAAACAATGCAGAGGTCAAAAAGAAAGATTGGGAAAACTTTTGTGAGGTCAACTGAATATGATTTTACAGGACCCCAGAGAACGTGACTCTTCCGGAATCTCCAATGGTAAACCAAAGATCAAATACAAAAACAAAGGAAACCACATTAAGATTGGATTAAATACTATTTTGAACCACAGCAAGGAAAAGAAATAATAGAAAATACCACCCAAGAGAGATTAAACAACCCTGAATGTAACGTGAGACTTTCAATGACACAAGTAACGCAAGACTTTTACAGTTGTTAACAAAATTTTAACAACCGTGAAAGCAAAACAAGCCTGAATTAATGGGAACGGAAATACTAAATCCACTAGGCCTGAAAAAACTGCAAAAAGTTTTAAGTTGTTAAAAATTGAAAAAGGTCAGGAGCAGATGAAGTACACAGACCAAATATAGTAGACCCATTCAACAAAATAAGAAGAGAACCTGATTTACCAAGATCAGGAACACCTGGGGTGTAAGCCTATTGGGAAACAGGGACAGGCAAAAGGCTTAGCAACCTGCAGTTGATGATGATTTCCTCCCAAAAATCATTTCATCAAGAAGATGAAAGCTTCCTAAAATAAGAACACAACAATTTCAAATATATTTTCTAGACTGACTTCTCATTTAGTTGAATGATCTTTAATAATTTTCTTAGTAATTGTTTTCAAATAACATTAAACAATTACCTTCTGTTGCTCAACTTACACAAGAAACTAAGAAAGAGAGAAAGGAACAACATTGACAATTAAGGACGATTTTTTCAAAAAACATACAAAAACGAACATTTTTGAGAATTGAGTTTTTCAATTTGCGAAAATCTTTTATGGTTCTCAGAAATTTTCTTTTCCGTTATCCTGCAGAGCAATGAGAGTTATATATAATCCCAAAGTGAAATGCTTCGGGATTTGCTTCTAAGTCTTTTCAATCTTCTAATTCGTTTTCCTAAATCTTTTTTGAAGTGTTTTCACAAAATTCCACATATACTTTGTTGGATTCAGGAATTTTCATTATACATTTGATAAATTGACAAAACTTGAGATTGGAGTAGCATATTTATTATGTACACATTCATTCATGAAACTTAATGTAATATTAATAATGGTTTAATTTTTATGATGTAAAGAGAAAGAGCAATTTGCATAACTATATTGTATTTCTAATGGATGTACTGTCATTGTGATAAGTTGTAATAAGATTATTATTTAAATTACTACAAGTTGTAATTGTAACTTAAATTAACTTAAATTATTTTTTCATCTTCATAAGAAATCACAATGTTGTCACTACCTGTGTTTTGATAAAAAATACTCATTTTATTCAAACTGTTCATTATGCCATAGTAAATATCATTGGATGTTGTTGGTATAGTAGAATATCTGAGAAGTTTTGCTACTTTCAGAACTAACTATATTTTTTTGGCTGAGTTATCCATAATATTTTTGAAATTTACCAGGCTTAAATCCCATCTACCTTTGCACAATATTCTGTTAACACTTTTTTTTAATTGAGGAGGTACTGTTTACTTTTAACTTGAGTTTCTCTCATTTTGAAAGGAAGTTTACTCTTTATTACCTTCTTTGCAGAAATCTTGTAGTCATAAAAGTTCTATTCTTTTCCCAACTGTTTCACTTTTCCTTGTAATCTCAAAAATCGTCAAAGTATAAATTCTCCTTCTTACTGAAGACTTTTTGACTCCACGAAACACTGTCTGCTGGCATGTAACTATGTCCACAAATGTGTTTCTCCCTTAAACATTTTACTTTCCATAAGAAATCCCATCAAAGTAGACATCAATACTGTATTTTGGTTTTGACTTGAGCAAGAATCAGAAAATAGATTAAGGTATTTATGCTTCTTCTCCAATGCATTTAAACTCTCTTAAAAATTTACCAGCACACTTGCAACTTCATTGGCTTCATGAGACATTTTTGTCTCCCAACAAGTGAACATCACTCAGGTATTGAACCTTCTTGCTCATCATTAATGCCAATTAAAGGACCAAACCTTTCACAATAAAATATCTCAGATATTTTTGGTAGAGATTGGTTCTGTGACATGACAAAACAAATGTTTATAGTGGCAGGTTCCTCAGTGTAATCTACATTCTCCGACATTACAGTATTTACTTAATGTACTTGCAATCAAGACACTTTCATATATCTCACAAAAGTTACACTGCATTCTTCACGCTCCTCCTTACATCAGATTTCATCACAATAGTATCAACAATGGAGCATTTAAATTGAATGTTTGAAAGAAACAGTCACAAAAAGCAGTTTTATGAGAACAAGTTTTACTTCAATTATATAACTTTTGACTAAATAATGTTAATAGAAAACACACTATCAATTTAGCAACACTCTGCATATGCATGAATGTGTCCAGTTTGGTAGAAATTCAGACATTTTTTAGCTTTATAACAACAGTAGTAATAGTTTCGATAAAACTTTGTTTAGAAATGGATAAATGGCTATTGAATTATGTAATACACATGCATAACACATACTGGTCCAAAATGTAATGTAGACTTTCGAAAAAAAGGATCCTCAATACTTTGCTTACTCAATTCTTACTATCCTTTACTTGGCAAGGGCCCTTTCCACAGATGCACCGATTTCATTTTTCATATCAGAGACCTTTATGTAACCATATAAATACACTGCCAAATATACAAATATATTATCTGGTAAATGAGTTGAATTGATGCCTTACTTTATATGGCGAGACTCAGGCCATGACGCCTACTCTTCTGACTGACCACACAATGTAGTCCATGATTCTAGATTCATTTTGCACAGGGCTATAACTATCTCAAAAGTCTAACTCTTATTTTTGTGGAGAAACTGTGTGCTGACAGAATGTATTAGTTCCTTCAAAAATTAGAAAATCATACAAAAGACCAGGCACACCTTACAAATACTTTGAAGCTCTTTTTGGGTTTGCTTTTGATGTACAAACTGTTTCCTGCTGCTTGCCTTAGTTGCCTTATTAGACACTGTTTTATCTGTGACCTGTTACTTTTCATTTTCAGCTGCATTGGAGTTTTGTCTTACAATGTCCAAATTTCGAAATGATCACCATAATATGAATCTTCATATTATCTACTTAGTGAAGTAATTTTTGAATAATAAGATACTTTTTCACGCATAATCACCCCCATTTCTTGCAACAGATATGCACTCCAATAATTTTCACAAGTTGGAAATTTTATAAGTACCGGTAAAAGTTCAATGATTGACAAGTCTGTTAACGATTTGGATCAACATTTATTGAATGTTCTATCACTTGAAAAGAAAACTGAAATCAGTATTACATGACATTGCTACAATTAAATCTACAAGTTCTTCAGAACATTTACTTCTTATAGAAGTAATCTATTTCAGATATCTTACTGGGTACTGAGAAATTGTTTCCAGGTACATTCACCCCCAAAATCATATAGTTGTCTTTTAAGTAATATTGTAACCTTCTCATGTTCTTTTCTGGTGTTTCTTGCTGGTTTCTACACACTTTTTTGTTTCTTGCTGCCTTCAACTTCTGAAACTAATTTTTGGCGAGAGATAAGCTTTCTGGATAGGAAGCGTAATTTTAATGCTTGATTTGCCCAAGTTGTTTTCAAATCAGTACTAATGACAGTAGATTTGAATGAGCTACATTGACATTGCACCCTACCCAATCAATGTTGCCAGCCAGGCAGCTGATGCAATATTCATGGAAACTATCTCAAAAAGATGATTCATTAAAGCCTGATTCGAGAGAGAGGGGAGAGAGAGTGAGAGAAAGGAAAGAGAAACAGAGAGGGAGAAAGAGAGAAAGAGAAAGAAAGAAAGGAAAGTAGAAAAAGAACAAGCAAAAGGGCAGGAGGTGAATCCTATTTTGCTGAGAACATCTGGATTACCAACTTCCACAGTATGTTTTCCAGTATGAGATCAGGACTGCAGGGAATCAAAAATTGCTTTTTCTATACAAAAATTTTGATCAAGAAACAAAATTATATCGAGAAGGTCTTTTCCCTCTGTCATTACCTAATGACAGAGATCCTGATGAATGAACTCTCACATTTTTCCATATCGTCTTCACTTTTACCTTTGAAAACATTTTTATATTAACAACCACAAAGTAAATTCATTTTTTTCAACTCAGACAAGACAAATAATAAATTTTATAAGAAGAAAATTAGTTAACAATTTTACTGTATTCATTCACAATAAACTGAAAATTGTTCTTACTTCAATAGTGAATAATAAAGTGTTGGCAATAAAGCAATGTTTCCATATGAATACATATAATAAAATGAGTGAAACATGGAGAGAATTTCGAAGTGTCTATATGAATCCAACAAAATCCAAAACACGTCCTACCAGCACTAAAGTAAATTATGGCAAAATAATAATAATCGAGGAGTAGGGTGTAAAAATGTGTGAAAATAATTTAAAGGAAAACAAAACTGAACCAACATGATAAGTGAGATAAAAAATCATTTCTTACCTCGTGATATAAATGAGAACTGACTGAACAACAACAGTGGTCCCTTTTCTGCACTACTGTTGGGGTTAATCTATCCCCTAATAGACACCACTATTTGAAAGACTAGGTATTGAAGACGAATACCTCTTACCATTCTTGTTTTTTTATGTACAAGAAAAGCGTGAATTCATTGGGAAACAAGTAAATCAAGGTTATCTGTGACTATTATTGTTGATTTTATGAAACTGAAGGTGAGAGGAAAGCAAGATATAGAGTGAGAGGTAAGATAATACTTTATCTAGGTTATGGGAGAGGGAACAGATCTTTTGGGAGATGGAATTTAATTCTTGTAGGAGCACTGCTGGTATTTCCAAGGTTAAAGTGACAGACGCAAGGGGCAGTTTGGAGGTTAGAAAAGAATTTGGGCAACAGTAAGGAATTGTAAAATGTAATTGTTTCTATCTCCAGTTCTCTATGAATTTGTCTGTTGGTTATATACCACAAGGAATTGGTAATTGCACGAAGCCCTTAATGCTAAAAGATTTGCAAGGGTTTCAGGAGGGAAAAAAGCATCTGCATAAGAGACTGAGTTGCTATAAGTTATAGGACTAATTCGTGAAGAAACAGAGAATTTTCACTTTTTAGAGATCATTTTTTATTAATAAGGGGATATAATTTGATTAGGTCTCTACAAGTTTTATTCAGTATTTGAATAATATGAGGTTTCCATGTGAAATAAGTACCCAGGAGGTCGCTTAGGTAAGGTTTATTTGAAGGGGCCCATGTAGTCTGTTAATTATTTACTATTAAAGGAGGAGGGATATTTGTTTCCAAGGTAAAACTTTTGATTTTGCATTTTGGGGTGTTCAGCTGTAATCTCCATTTTTTTGACCATTCATGTGTTTAAGTCTAAGGTATTTATGTCTTGTTGTAGGTCATTAACTGCTTCAGAGATGAAGTTTAAAGAGTTAAAATTAGAGGAGATTAATTCATCAATCTAATTTTTAATATTCTATTCAGTTCTCCTTTTTCTGTTATTAAAAGAGGGAACAAAGATATTCAGAATTTGATCTCGATTGAACACGATCTGATCTCGTTTGTAGATGTCCAATCAACATCAATAAACCAAAGAATAGAAATTCAGAATCAATAACACAACCACAAAAAAAAATATTTCACACCCAGAGACTTGGCACACGTTTCTTTATATATGTCACCGCTCTGAATCCTAAAATGTGAAGCCAGAATTCCACCAACACCCACCAGTTCTTTTTAAATAATGAAAAAACACAGTGAAATAGTATGGTTGAAGTCTAGTATACGGTACGACTTGAGAAACTTTAAACCGGCCCTTAATGCCACTTTGGCGAGGGGGAAATCCACAGTAGAGGGGACAAGGGACGGTGATACCGCCCATGCTCTGGTTTATATATATACACAAAGTGACACATATTGCTCACCACCCCTCCCCACTGAAAGGTTCTCCTCATAATCCCCTAAACACCCCTCTTGCCTACTCTCGCACAATTATTCACATCCAAACTGCAATGTTTCCAATCCAATTATTCACATCCAAACTGCAATCTTTCTAATCTAGCAAGATCATTCACATTAAATCATGCTTATTTCATATGTTAAGGTTTTTTCCTAAACAATACATACTGTTGACTGTTAAATTTAGATACTGAAACAATACCTTTGCATGCACTACACCAAGACTTGTGAATAATAACCATGATTGGCTTCTGAGTGAGCATTGCTATTTCCAATCCTTTGTCAAAATTTTGCCAAGCAAAATGGGAGCCAAATCCTACAAAACAAACAAAAACAAAATTGAACAATCAAAGTTTAGGTACTACTAATAAAATTTTTAAATATCAAAAGTAGAATATTCTCACTGATTAATTTCCTCTCAGAAAACAAACTGAAAATCAGCTTTGTAATTGAATTAAGACTCAATCAGCATTAAAAGATTAATCCTTTTAATCTAATTGAGTAAATTGAATGACCAAGATTAAAGATACCTAGCTGTTTTTAATAGAAAATGCATCCCCCCTCCCCACTGATGTTTCATGTAAACAAAGTTAGACCTCATTAGAGCTTTGCAGTGAGCAATTCAAATGTATACTCCATGTAAACAAACATGTAGTATAAATTTTAGAGTATAAATGATATAAATTTGTATTACTCATTTCTTAATATTATTCATTATTATCTCCAGGGTAGTTCACAAGTAAAATTCAATTAACAAAATCTACCTTGTCTAGATGAAACAACACCAAAAGGCAAAAAAATGTGTTTTCTTTAAAAAGAATATTCAGCTGAGTTCACTTTGACCACCATATCATACAATCTACCCATTAAATGAAACAGTAACCATTCTTCATACTTTTAATTCAATGCTGTTCTTATTATTAAATGACAAAGTCTTTTGGTTTTTCCAAAAAATGTAATTTTTTCATTTAAATTTGTTTTCCAAGTAATACTGAAAAGTATATGGTTCATTGTCTTGTTCTTAAGTAGACAGTTTCCTACACACACAACATTAACCATTACCTCGTCCATTGTTAGATGGAATCAATTTTATTTCTTTTTCTTCATCTTCATCACCATCCACATCACAGTAAACGCGAACATTATACAATAAATTTACAACCAGATACACTAAAATTAATTTCCTCGGGATTGGCGCCATCACAGCAACACCAATCCCGAAGTATAATATATTACTGAAATGATTCCGATAGTCAAGTGTCTTTTTACAATGACGAATGCAAACGTCAGTTCCGACAGTTGGTAGCTCGTAAAAAAACAAAAGTTGACAAGAAACTCCGCCACTCAAGTAACAGAGTATGTAAGTAATTTTTATACAAAATTTATATTTCTTTCAATTCAACATTGAGTTTTAACATTTTCTTTTTTTATTTTAAATGCATCAGCAATACACGTTTTAAGTTCCCAGCTACGCGCTTTAACGATAATTGATAATATTATTACATGGGTCAATACCAGTTCGTTCCAAATCCGTCGGATAGCGCTGGCAGTGTATTTCCCCTTCGTGATTTGCTTCCATTCTGAGCAAGATTCAAATACTGAACTAAACGTAATGCCTGCTAATTTTCACGAGCAAGCCATACAATAATTCATTGCCTTTGATTGTTATATAGTTCCGTGGGTATAATAAAAAGGGAAAAAAGAATATAAATGCAAAAAATCATTCTGAATTGGGTGTATAACCATCGCTTACGTAAATCATTGCGTTTAACATATTCATAGAATATTCAGTCTTCAGAGATTCAATGGCTCGAAAATAATGTGCAAATTCGAACTTAAATGTTACCACACATTCGACAAAATAACAGTCGTTTTACGACGTACTTGAGAAGGGAAGCGAACCGAATTATCAGTGGTTATACTCGCCATCTTCGAAATTACCTACCATTTTCTACGAGCAAAAATGTGAACTTCAACTCTGCAGCTCGCAAACGAGAAAAGTTTTAGACGATATTTAAGACCACCACTCCAAGTCATTAGTTTTCTAGCAACTGCCAGGAATGTTCCGATTTGACTCCGACATTTTTTTCATCTTGGAAGATTTTGCATTTCACATTATGAGTTCGTAATGCAAAATTAAAAGTATCTACAACAAAATTTGTCAACTTTATTCATTCTAATGAGCCCATTACTCATACACATATCAACGTGACAACAAATCTCAAAATTTATAAAAGTATTTCAAATATCCCTTAAAGGAAGATATGGAGAGATGCGGTTTTGTACCATTTATAAGAAACTTTCTTCCCAATCATCCGTAAGTGTTTCACTGCTGGATAGGAAATTATCCCTAGGCCTTTATCAGATTTAAGACGAAAAAATTAATAAGCAGTTAATGAAGCTAGTAGATAATGATACAAGAAACACAGTGCAACCCGCAACACTTGTGTTTCGTTTCATCACACATTAAAATTGTGCAAAAATTCGGTTTACCGTGTTTTCGGTTCAGATTCACCATGTTGTCGGGTAGTTGTTTCTTAGACCGTACCGTAATAACAAAATGAGATTTTATTTTAAATACTATGACCTTTTTAGAGAACCCCTACTCGGTATCATGGGTTGTCAGAAACGAAGGTTGGGCCATATTTTCACCTTTACCATTTAAAAAGTGTGATATCAATCAATCAAATCAATGATGCCTTATTTCCCATGGGGATGTTCAGGCTATCAGTCCTGCTCTTCCGCCAGACCATGCAAATTCCACTGCGCTCCTTTCACTGTCTGGCGTATCACCCGGGCGACGAATCAAGAGATTTGAATTTTGCTCAGAGGCTTCATTTAGTCTTGAGAATCTTTTACATTAAGTAAATCTACATGACAGACCCGGCTTTATTTTCCCTTCGAAAAAAGGCGTTCGATGATTTTTTTCGCCCTTAAAAGTCCACAGCTTCGATCGTGTTTGAAGCCGCGAACTTGGGTATAACAGCCCGGTACGCTAACCGTTCTTGGCGATCGAGATTTTTCCCCCGAAAATGAGAAATTTTGGACTCTTCTATTTAGTTTTGGGGGATTCATTTCTGAGTATTCTATTCAGAATTTCAGTTTGACTCGTCACAAAACTCTTCATTTTTGTATCTTCTATGACATTTTGGGAGTTTAATATCTACTCTAGGTACTCCTATTGGACAGAAGGGGCGATCAGAGATGAGCAGAATCTCAAAATTCACGTGAATTGAAATTGACTTTTTGATCCTGTGTGCAATTTAATCGCAACGGCTAAGCAATATTAGAATGTTTATCCATGCAAATTGCACAGTACCCAATATATAATGCTGTTAGGCACAGTTTAGGAGCTGGGACCATTCGTTTGGATTTGCAGTATCATGCAGTTATTTTCACGTTTAAAACAATGATTTACAAAATGCGAAATGTCCACGCGGGCCAGTGTTGGCAGTTGCTTGAAAAGTGAATATCGTGCTGCGCCATCTATTATTATCGTACAACGATTATTATTGTACGGTGGTAATTTCAAATTATCGTACATTATACCGTATATTAATAAAAATAGTGTAAAAATTAGCGTAATTTTTAATTTTTTTCAAACATATTACTTAAATTATTTTCTTTAACGACATATTTCTAATGAAGAATGAATGCAGCGAGGATACAACTAATATAATATAGAGATTCTTATAACCTTAACTTTTATGAATATGTATGCATACATTTAATATATAACAAATCAAAATATTTTTTTTTATTTTCTCGACCATATACAGAATCGAACTGATTATACCGTACAACTTTTACTTGATTGAAAACTCCACTAATATATTTACCGAAATCTTAGTAGCAAATATGTAGTGGCGTTCCAATTGAACAGAAGGGATTTTAATGTTTTAGAATCGACTCTGACATCACTTATAATAATGACATCCCTTAAAATATAAAAGTGACCACGTAACGCTCTCATTGTGAATCCTTCTTAAGTGCCATTTTCTAAGGGTCTATTTTTGAAACTATTGCTCTCAAGCGATAGGCGACTCTCGCATTTTTGTTAATGTGGAAATGCACGTTCAAAAATGCTATAATCGCATAATGCACGAGAGAGATAGTTTCAAGAATAGATCCTCCGATCAGCCACTTCAATTAGTCACATTATCGTACTTTTATCTGTACGATAATGATACAACGTATATCATAATGAATAATTGTACATGTACGATAATTATCGTACGTCTGGCAACACTTACACGGGCCTAACTGGTAGGATGTTCTTAAATGCAGTTTTTAATACGATATTCAACTTTAAATACAATACTCGTACACAAGGCTGGATTTAGGGACTCAAGCACAAAATCGTCTTGCGGTCTCTGTCCGGAAACAAAACCATGCTCAATACGAGTATTTGATCCCCCGACGTTCACCTCAGCGTTCCGGCTTGTACCCCCGCACTTTCCCCATAAGAGCCCCTACTTATTTCCTCCCTGATTCATCACAGTAACCCAGATGTTACACAAAATGTTTCCACATGTTCTCCATATATATATTTGGTACATTGTGAAGCAATGTTTTCACCGACGGTGATATAAATAATATTATTACTTGTAGTAATAATTATTATATTACTTTATCATATACGTATGTGTATATAGACTAATATACGTAGTTATTAAAGTTATGTTGCTCGAAAAACCGGCGGATTTTCGTCAGAAAAAAATTCATTGCCGGCCCCTGAAAACGAGAAAGTGGAGAAATACAGTCGCTAAATGAAGGGAGAAAAATCCTGTAACACGTAGTGTGGCCAGAATCCCTGGTTTGTGGGTCCTTGAACCTGGAAATTAATTGACGCCAAAACGTCGTCTCTCTCTCCTTTCCGTCCCTCCGTCCGTCCGTCCCTCCGGGTGCCGTCCGTGTCCTCCGTCCGCCGGTTCCTCCGTCCGTCCTCCGTCCTCCCGTCCGTCCCCTCCGTCCGTACCCGTCCGTCCTCCGTCCGTCCCGTCCCTCGCATCCGTCCGTCCCTCCGGTCCGTCCGTCCCTCCGTCCGTCCGTCCCTCCGTCCGTTCCGTCCCTCCGTCGTCCGTCCGTCCCTCCGTCCGTCCGTCTCCGTCCGTCCGTCCCTCCGTCCGGTTCCGTCCCTCCGTCCGTCCCTCCGTCCCTCCGTCCGTCGTTCATCCGTCCCTCCGTCGTCCAGTCCGTCCGTCCGTCCGGTCCGTCCATCGTCCGTCCGTCCATCCGTCTCTCTCATCTCGTCCTCTCTCTCTCCAGCCTCTCATCCGTCGATCCATCCGTCCGTCCATCCGTCCGTCCATCCGTCCGTCTATCCGTCCGTCCATTTCCGGTCCGTCCACCCGTCCGTCCGTCCATCCGTCCAAAACCGCCGTCCAACCGTCCGTCCAACCGTCCCGTCCAAACGTCCGTCCAAAACCTCCGTCCAAAACGTTCCGTCCAAACCGTCCGTCCAAACGTCCGTCCAAACGTCCTGTTCTAACAAACGTCCGTCCAAACGTTTCCGTCCAAACGTCCGTCAAAACGTCCGTCCAAACGTCCGTCTCCAAACGTCCGTTCCAAACGTCCGTCCAAACGCTCCGTCCAAACGTCCGTCCAAACGTTCCGTCCAAACGTCCAGTCCAAACGTACCCGTCCAACGTCGTCCAAACGTCGTCAACGTCCGTCCAACGTCCGTCCAATACATCCGCCAAACTCGGTCCAACCGTCCGTCCAACCGTCCGTCCGTCCGTTCGTCCGTCCATCCGTCCGTCCATCCGTCCGTCCATCCGTCCATCCGTCCGTTCCATCCGTCCATCAGTCCTCCCATTGCCGTCCGTCCATCCGTCGTCCAACCGTCCGTCCAATCGTCCGTCCATCCGTCAGTCCGTCCGTCGTCCTCCGTCCGTCCATCCGTCCGTTCCGTCCCCTCCGTCTCTATCCGTCCGCCACCGTCACATCCGTTCCCGTGCCACCCGTCCGTCCATCCCGTCCTCCATCCGTCCATCCGCGCGTCCATCCGTCCGTCCATTTCCGTCGTCCATCCGTCGCTCCAAACCTCCGTCAACGTCCGTCCAACCGTCCGTCACAGCCGTCGTTCCAACCGTCCGTCCAACCGTCCGTCCAACCGTCCGTCCAACCGTTTGTCCGTCCGTCCATCTGTGAACATCACTAGCGCTTAAACCATACGCAGGATTTTTTCCAAATTGAAGAAACACCTGTCGATCTGGCTCGAGTCCAAGCTTTGAGATTTTGAAATACATTCTATAACATTTGGGGGTTCATTACATGAAAGTCCTGGGACATTTTCAATTTTTTCAAAAAGTTCTCCAATTTTTTTCTTTAAATTTCTTGTAAGAATAGAGTAAAATTCACTTAATTAGGTGGCTTAGGTCCAATTGCTTGGGTAAACTCTAAATTTTCAAAAATTTCAAAAGTTGGAAAATTTTTGGGGTCGTCCTACAACAAAAAAATTACAGATAGAGATTTTTCAATGAGGTAATGTACATTTTTTTAAAATATTTTAGTAGTTTTCGCGCAATATGCGTAAAATATTTGCAATTAAAAAAAATACAATATTTTCTCAAAAACGGTTCCACTATTCTTCAAACTTTTGTTGGAGGTAGTATTAAATGTACTCTATGACATGACATAAACGCCTTATTGCTCTATACTTTAATTGCTTTTTTTCAAAAATTACAACAATGTAATTTTTTGACGAACCTCTCACGGCATTAATATTTACATTAGCGGTGATTTGCTTACATTATTGCATTTATGAGTACATGTGCTTTAAATGTTGTCGTGAAAAGTTTCTCAAAAACGTAACATTTTTCTGTGAAAACGAGCAGAAAATACCTGATTTTCAGTACCGCTCTCACGCCATTTTCATAAAAATGGCTCTAAATTTGTTCTTCAAATGTTTCCAGTAGATAGTGATAAATGTACTGTTCAATATGCCATAAGGTTCATTTTGCGGTTTTCTTTTTTTTAAAAAATACCTAATTGTATTTTTTAAAATAACTCTCACTCTATAATATGCACATTTCCAGCGATTAGTAAAAATCAGCATTTGTGAATGGAAGTGCTTGAAATGAGTTTTTTGAAAACTCATAAATTTTCTGTGAAAAAAGCTTCAAATTTGCATTTACGATAACACTTAAATGCCATTTCCTTAAATATGGCTCCAAATGTTTCAATGAAAATGGTCATTTAGATGAAGTTTTACTCTTCTTTAATATTCTTAAAGAAATACTTCGATTCTGCTATTAAGAAACCGAAGAATTGAAAAAAAATGTACTTTCGGCGGTGATGGAAGCATGCAAGAGTATGAGCCAAGTCCGAAATGAGCCTAGACCTGACCAACGAAAATAGAAAACTAATTCGAGAAAGTCTGTGCCATTCTGAAGAACTACTAGTTCTATGTTGATTATATGTTCACAAACATGTAATTTGCTCACATTTTGGAGAAAAGAACAAATAGCGTGTTTTTTAAGCTTTAGCTTGCTTGGTGATTGGTTTCGAAAAAAATGTTTCATAGAAACTTGTGGGAAATTTTACTCTCTTTAAAATTGAATTTAATCATTTTCAATACTTAAGGTATAGAGAGAAAAAAACGATAAAAGTCGGCTTAAATGACTGACGTTGGCAATTGTAACAAAATATTTGCGAGATTGCTACCTTGCAGTAAAGCAATATTTCTTTCAATACACAATAACTTATATTGCTAAGCAAGAATTGGGGTAATACTTATTTGAGCCAAACACGTTGAAGTAACATTAATTCCCAGCTGTTAGATTGAAACACCAATAATATTCGTATTTCGGGAGGTAGCATATATGTAGTAAGATCTATATTTCAGTGTGATAAGCCAATACACACTGCCAATACCAAGAAATCATCTGAGCTCTCTCAGTTCACGAACAAATTACGAGGACAAATAGTCGTAGTGGAAGTATCGCCGTAACCTGAACGGAATGCCATTTGAGTGGACGGCAGTTGATCATTTCTTAGTGATGTTAAAAAACACTTATTGCCTGGAAAATTATAATTAAAAAAAATGATAAAACTAAATCGGTGAACAACCGTTTTAGTGAATTACTAACTAATTTATTACGCGCTCTTTTGTTGTCCCGCGAGTTGTTTAATGGTACTTTCAATTTTATGAATGACAAGATAATTGCAAAGAATTTAATGTATGTATAAGCAAATTCCAAGAATACGTCTGCAAGCCTATTGTTCCTCCAAAGTGTGAGGTAACGAATTTTATATTAACGGCCCCGTCATTTTACCGCACTACTAGCAGTCCACTGTATCCTGTCACCTCCTGTCAACCCTTCGGTTTCAACAAGAGATTAGTCGGACGACTACTATAAGGTGAGTTGCCGTATGTGTGTGTGAGTGTGTGTCTGTGAAGTTGGAGTTGATGTATTGCCTGTGGGTGAGTCCAACAGAGGCCACGAACGAACTGGAGGATACCACTTAGGCGAGCCTTCGGTGGTTGGAGCAGACTGTAGCATATCTGCGGATCACGAGCACACGTACTATGCATGTGTTAAAGGCTCTGAACTCCAGAAACTTCATCCTATAGGCGGCTCCACACATTCGGTATTCGCCGAGCAGCGAGCTTCTGCTCGCCCAATCCCCAACAGCTGATGTTCGGATGATGGTTTCTCTCCCTTTGTGTGCCTAGAAAGGCAGTTTCATCGAATTTCGGCATTTCGCGAGCATGCGAGCTTCTGCTCGCAGCCAATACCCAACATGCTGATGTCTTCGGAGAATGTTCCTCTCCCTTTGATTGCCTACAAGGCAGTTCCACACAATTCGGCATGTCGCCGAGAGCGAGCTTCTGCTCGCCCAATCCCCAACAGCGGATGTCTTTCGGACGAATGTTTCTATCCCTTTGTGTGTCTAAGAAGGCAGTTCACACATTCGGTCATTTCGCCTCGAGCGAGCGAGCTCTGCTCGCCCATCCCCAACAGGGATGTCTTCGGAGAATGTTCTCTTCCCTTCTGATGTGTCCTATAATGGCCAGTTCCACACATCTTCGCATTCGCGCGTAGCAGGCGAGCTTCTTGCTCGCCTCAATCCCCCAAAGCAGCTGATGTCTCGTAGAAGGTCTCTCCCTTGTGATGTGGTCCTAAAGGCAAGTTCACACAATTTCGGCATTTCGCCGAGCAGCGAGCTTTCTGCTCGCTCCAATCCCACAGCTGATGTCCCTTTCGGAGATTTCTCCCCCTTTGGATGTGGGGTCTAATGGCAGTTTTTCACTACATTCGGCATTCGCGAGCAGCCGAGCTTCTTGCTCGCGCAACTCCCAAAACACGGATGTCTTGCAAATCTTCTCCCTCCTTGTGTATTAGTGTCCTAACTGAAAGCAGTTCCACATGCATTGACATTTGGAGCAAGCTGAAGCTTCTGCTCGCCCAATCCAACAGCTAATGTCTTGCGGGGAGAAGTTTTCATCTTTATGTTTCCTAAAGGCAGTTCCAACTCATTCGGGCCATGTCGCGAGCAGCGAGCGTTGCTGCTCGCCTCAAATCTCTCTAATCCAACCGGATTGTCTTTCTGAGAATCTCTCCCTTTGATTGTGTCGTAAAGGCAGTTTTCCATCACATTCGGATTCGCCGAGCAGTCGAGCTTCTGCCGCCCAATCCAACCTCAGCGGATTGTCTTCGGAGAATGTTACTCTCCCTTTGAGTGTCTAAACGCAGTGCCCACATCATTCGGCATTCGCGTCGAGTTGCAGCGAGCTTCTGCACGCCCAATCCCCAACAGCTGTGATGTCTTCGGTGAGAATGTTTCGCTCCCTTTGATGTGTCTGAAAGGCGTAGTTCCACACATGTCGGCATTCGCGAGCAGGCGAGCTCTGCTCGCTCAATCCCCAACATCTGATGTCGTTCGGAGAATGTTCTCTCCCTTTGATGTGGTCCTACAGGCAGTTCACACATTCGGCCATTCGCCGAGCCGCGGAGCTTCTGCTCGCCCAATTCCCCAACAGCGGATGTCTGCGAGAATGGTCTCTTCCCGCTTTGATGTGTCTAAAGCAGTTCCCACATTCGCAATTCGCCCGAGCAGCGAGCTTCTGCTCCGGCCCAAGTCCCAACGAGTGATGGTTTCGGAGACTGTTCTGTCTCCTTTTGAGTGTATCCTACACGAGCGTTCCACAAGCTTCGGCATTTCGCCGGAGCAGACGAGCTGTCTTGCTCGTCCCAAGTCCCAACACTGATGTCTTCGGAGAATGTTCTCTCCTTTGATTGTGGTCCAAAGGCATGTTCTACATCATTCGCATTCGCCGTAGCAGCGAGCTTCTGCTCGCCAATCCCAAGTATTCTTTGCAGATTCTCCTCCCTTTGATTCTGCGCTAAAGGCAGTCCTACACATTCGGCATTCGCCGACAAGCGAGCTTCTCTCGCCAATCCCAAACAGCTGATGTGCTGTTCGGATGATATTTGTTCTCTCCTTTGAGTCCTTAAGGCAGTTCCACACATTCGGCATTCGGCCGAGCAGCGGAGATGTCTGTCGCCCAAGTCCCAACGGCGGATGTCTTCGAGAATTGTTCGCCTCCTTTGATAAGTCGTAAAGACCGACACGCGGTGGGTAGGGCGAAAACGGAATGTTCGGCGCTTGGCGAATCGCGAGCAACCCGTCCACACCACTCGGGATTCGGCGAGCGGTTGTTCGGGATTCGGCGCATGCCGCATGTGTGGAAACGCCTTATGACGAGTAAATCCGCAATTATACGGGATGTGCAAGATGCAAAACCTTGTATCCCAGACGGGAAACTTGGTAATTGTGAACTGGAAAATTCCCAAAAGCACGTTAGAAAGTAGTGAGAATAGTTTTTGTTTTTCATTAAATGTTTGGGTAGGTTCCGCCTAGGTAGCTACCCACTGGAAGTGCGAGCAATTAAAAAATAACAGATAAGAAGAATAAAAGTAGAATTATCAAAATCCGAAGCTACAGCACAAAATATAAAAGATTCTGATACGTCGAAAGTGTTATCTTTGTTACAAAAGTTTATTAAATTTGGGAGAACTCGTGCCCAGAAAAATTGCAAGAAAGTAAACACCACATGGAGCAGATGTAACGTATTATGCTCAGAAGTTTTCCAAAAACTCTACAAAATTGTGTAAAACAATATTGTACATGCGAGTTATATAAGGGATGTTCTAAATTTAAAATAAACATTCCTGATAGATATTACTTTTATTCTATTCATGTTCCAGATAGTTCACAGAAAATTTTGTACCGGCCCGTAAATAGAAATGTGTTGAAAGAGGGCCAATATGGATATGCCAACCAGATAAGATGTGCCGTGAGTTTAGGGGCAGTACGCGTTTTGGCCGTTCAGGGTTTACATTAGCGAGGGCCACAATATAAATCGACTTGCAGTCTGTAACTTCATATCATAAGCATCAAAGCGAAGAGAAATTCACTACTGAGTAGTTCAGACAATAAATTATCGAAATTTGTCAATAATCGTCTACATTTACAAATAAATTATTAAATACGATAATAGAAGTTAAATTAATGTAATTGAAAATTAATTATAGCCGAATACCATTATGGACCTCGTGGCCTCTGGAACAACCTCCTGAGAGTCAAGTTCGTGTGATCCAAAATACGTCTTCCACCCAAAATAAACGTCCATGGTGTATTCTTACAAAACATAGAAAAAAAGAATATAGAAACATATTTATTAAGATATTAAAAAAGAACTGTGACACTAGAGAACCAAAAGAAAAAAATCGTAGGTGTCCGACTTGTTAAATCTCAGATTTTTTCAGTAAAAACAGATACTTTGCTAACCCACAGGAAATAAACGCCGTAGTTCGGTAAAACGCAATCCTAATGTTTTTAAAATTTGGAGTGCAGATGTATCCTCAGAACATACATATATCTTTTTCGCCTAGGTCACAGTATTTGACTAATTAGCTTACGATCTGCCATCTATTGTGAATGAGTCAATGCACATTGTTTCCAAGCGCGATAACTACTTAGATAATTATTCTCTTGAGTGTAGTGCATTGTAAATCGCGGCAGGTATGATCTGGAACATGAGACCTTCCGCGAATCTACTTTTCGGCTTTCGGGGTTTTCCCCTCCGGGAATTTTCCTCCAGCAGGGCACCGCCTACGCCGGGACAAGCTCTTAACTCCCGACAGATGTTCCCACGTGTTTGGTATTGTTGTGCATATGTGCAAGTGTGTGTGTGTGTGTGTGTGTGCAAAGAGAAAGAAGGGGCAAGTAAAGGGAAGGAAAGATCGCGCGCAGTCCGTAGCTCGTTGGCATTGAGACTGTCCCGGCATATTTATTGCAGACCGAAAAAAAAGACTACGGAAACCGCGAACAACTATGTATCAGAGCTGCCTGGCGCAAGACTTCTCCTCCAGTGGTTTCATTCGACCCAGCCAAGTAGCATAATATTGGAAATCCGCTATCGTCGGCACTTGAACCTTAGGAATTACTCATTCTCCATATCCTGCGGGAACTTCACAGAATCATCATCATCATCAGGAGATCCAATCCTCGAGCCTTGGACACGAAAATAAGCACTGGATGAGATGGCTGAATGACAGTGGCGATGTTGCTTGTGTAGCGTCGTGGACATGGGAGGTCATAGACCCGTCGGTGGCGGATTTTCGGCACTAGCTACGTGGCTACTTGATCTAACTCCACCACTGCCTGGAGGAGAATTCTGCTTTCCGTGGTTTCTCAGATCAACATCAGGCAAAAGACGGATCAGTATAATAGAGATCAGATAAGCGAGCAGCGCGCAATTTTTCCTTTCTCACCCTGTCCTCTCTTCGCCCTTACCCACACTCATTACACTATATACATTTCTGTGGGCCAGGCGCGAGCTTGCAGCTTCTTGCGGTGGCGGTGGTTGTGTTGGCGGTGGTGGTGGTGATGGTGGTCGTTGTTGTGATGGTGGTGGCGGTGGTGGTGGTGGTGGTG